CAACATCAACCACTAATTCATATAAACTGGCTTTATTAAACATCACCCCCGGTTCTAAAGTCCTTACACTGGCTCCCTGTATCTCAGAGAATAGACTTTAAAATACTTCTGTTAGTCTATAAATCTCTGAATGGCTTAGCACCTAAATACATCACAGACTTGCTATCAGTGTATCAACCCTCCATACCACTCAGGTCTTCTGGCTCCAGCCTGCTCTGCATACCTAGAACCAGAACTAAACATGGAGAAGCAGCATTTAGTTCCTATGCTCCACTTATCTGGAACAAGCTTCAAGAAAACTGTAAAAGTGCGGAAAGCCTGAGTTCTTTAAATCAAGACTAAAAACACATTTGTTTAGGATTGCCTTCCACTGTTCTAGTTAAACAGTTCAACTAAAACATATTTTCTTTAAATTAATCATTTCAAAAGCATTACCATTAGTATAATAATAAAGAATATACATACAAAATAAAAGATAACTTTTCTTTTTGGGGAGCAGAAAGGCAATTCAGGTTTTTTTCCACCTGTGAACCAAAAGACCTCGCATAGGAACGTGAGGCTCTCTCTAAGACTGAGAGGAAGGTTGTAGGTGCCACCAGAAGGTATTTAATTTTACTGAGACATGGGTAATCTAGAGTGGGATCCCCCCCAGTTATCCAGGTTGGCACCATAGGATTGGTGTGTATCGGGCAGAGTTAAATTACCTGTAGATAATGGGAAAGGTTTTGCAGTTCTATGGTAGTAGAACAAAAGGCAAGGTTCTGGGGAATTGTCAACTGCCCAAGGAGAAATTTTTGATCAAATGCTAACAGCTTTAAAGATAATTAGTAATCAAATACTGGAAAATTAGCTCAAACAAAGTCCTCTTCTTCTCCATAAAAAAAAAATAAAAAATCAAATAAATAAATGTAATCTAACAAAAACTTCCAACTGTTTTTATATATTTTTTTTCTGCATTTTTTTATTTTATTTTATTTATTTTCTTTTTTTTTCCCTAATTGCTTTGATTCTGTTTTATCTTCCTATATTTTAATCATGTAAAGCACTTTGCATTGTCTTTGTACTGAATTGTGCTATAGAAATAAATTTGCCTTGCCTTGCCTTGCCTTGCCTTGATGAGTAAAGACAAAGCTAACAGGATGGACTGAATGCTACGCGATTCTACAGTAATATGTTTTGAGGTGTTGTTGAAGCTTGGACAAGCTCTATTTCACTAAGGGATTAAACACTGATATAACATTAGTGTTTATGTGTTCCTCAAATGCTCGTTACATTTCCATTACCAAGTATGACCAAGAGTCATTTAGTGGAATCCTGATGTCTATTCGCTGCTAGATATTTCAAAGAGGGTAAAGAATCATTTAGCTAAAGATTACTGGTTCCTGATTAAGCCAGTTATTTAATAAAACATCAGGCCAAATAATGTTTTATTCACCTCATGGATTTGCATTGTGAAATGGTCTGAAAACATTCCAATTTCTCTAAATTAGTGAAAAGCCAATTTGATCATATCCCGAATTCTTCTTAGCTTCACTTCATTGGCTTCCTGTTAAAAAAAGAATAGAATTTAAAATGCTACTTCTCGCGTATAACGCCTTAAATCATCTGATATCAGACATCTGATTGTTCTTTGTTTGTTTTTTTTTTAGGTTGAGGTCTGAATTGCCCCTTCTCCCAAGCACATCTCAACTCTCCGCCAAGTGAGGAGCCCATTTCCCCCGTCCTGCTCTCCCTCCGCTGGCTGGTGTCTGGGGTCGCCAGTGATCTGGTGGAGCTCTGGGTTTTGAGGTGGATGCCCGGGGCTACTGGCTTATTCCTGGCAGCTTCTCCGCGGGAATAGGCCAGGCTAGGGTTAGGGGTTGGGGCCTGCCCCTGCCAAAAGTCCAGGGCCGGAATTACTTCAGGGTGGTTGGCTGCCATGCATAATCAAGCAGAACACCATGGAGAGAGCCGTACTGATCCTCTTGTGAAACTAAAATATGTTGGGCTCTTTTTGGCATCAAGACAATTATTCCTATTGTCACATCGACAGACAGGACACTGTTAAAAAAAAAAGATACATGAAAATAATATGAAATGGGTGTCTGGGACTATGGGCCGGATCTATCAAAGGTTTGCGTGTATAAAAACCTGAGCTATTTCACTGCGCACGCTAAAAAAATTTACAAACTGATCTATCAACAGCGTGCTAAAAGGATTTGGTCTTTAAAACGTGCTAAATAGCGCCTCTTATCCATTTAGTACTTTTTCTGCAATGAATATGCAATATGGGGCGTTTACACGCAAAAGTGCGTCTTGTGGGCGGAGAACATGTAAATATATTAATTTAGCACTCGCAAAGTGATTTATCAAACCTGAAAGCAATTTTGCTAACGGTATCTGACTCTATATTAACACGTTTCAAAAGAAGGTGCAAATGGTCTTTATGCGTAATTGCGCACACATGTCAGCGGTTATTGTTGCAAGAAGGAGACATCGAAATGAAGCAAGGAGACGCAGAGAACGCATTTTTTCACTCCGTGTGAATATTTTTGCAATGAAGGAGGAAACGATCATCAAAACATTTCGTTTATCCAGCATTGCCATTTTGGAGCTGTTGGGGGAACTCCAAATGGATTTGGAGCCAGCCACAAGAAGGACCCACGCAATACCAGCTATCACAAAACTCCTTGCAACATTGCACTTTTTTGCATCTGGGTCATTCCAGCGTATGGTTGCAGCAAGAGCTGGGATCTCCCAATCTCGTTTTTCAGAAGTGCTGTCCGACGTTCTAAATGCCATGTCGCCCTGACGCCCTTCCGGAGAACCCCAACTTCCCACTTTTTTTTTTTTTTTTGGAGGGGGTGGGGGTGTCACTGTAAGATTAAAATTTCTTAATGCACTAGTTTGCACAAACTACAAACTACTTTGCCACAAACCACAAAACGCGCAAAACCATCATTTAAATAGGGCGTCTCCAACAGTTTTGCACCTGCCACCAGTTACGCAATCGCTCTTGTTAAATCACCCGCAAACCATGGTTCAGCCCCTCGCGCAAAATTCCAGTTTGCGAGCGCAAATTACTGCACGCAAAATTGGATCTTGATAAATCCGGCCCTATGTTATTCACTGATAAAAGACTATATCTGTTGTTAAAAGAAGAAAATATATGTTTACTTATTTGAGAATGTTGTGAGAGAATGTTTAAGAATGTTTGAGAGGTATTCTCTACGTTGGCCTCTGTTATACTTTTATTTGTTAAGTTCTGTCTCATTACCGGATGTGTCCCAACTGCTCTTAAACATGCTGTTGTACAACCTCTTATCAAAAAGAAAAATCTAGATCCCTATATGTTGTCCAACTTTAGGCTTATCTCGAAATTGCAGTTTTTAATCTAAAATTGTAGAGAAAGTGTTTTTTTTATCCAAATTCAATCATTTTTAATAGCCAATGATATATATGAGAAGTTCCAATCTGGTTTGAAACCTTTTCATAGCACTGACATGGTGACTGTTGACTCAGGAAATCCTGCTATGCTCGTGCTCCTTGATCTTATAGCTGCCTTTGACACTGTGGACCATGGGATTATCTTAGCATGACTTGAACAGTGGTTGGGCATTACAGGATCTCTCATGGTTCTAGTCTTATTTGACTGACCAGAGCTTTTCTGTGCAGCTAGGTCAATTCACTTCATCTTCAGCTCCTCAGTTCTGGGGTTCCCCAAGGCTCCTTTCTTGGAACTATTCTTTTTCTGTATATGTTACCATTTGGGTCAATTTTAAGGAACCATAATCTTTCTTTTCATTGTTATGTTGATGACGTCCAGATCTACTTTGCTTTAGCATCAAAATCCAACAACCTCATACAGTCATTTTCAATCTGTTTAAACAATGTTAAGCCGTGGATGACCTCAAACTTTCTAAATCAAAAGTAAGACTGAAATTATAATGTTTGGTTGTAGTCTAGCAGTTTTTCCTCCTGGCTCCTTGGGCCCTCTTACACCTAACATTCGACCATCAGTAAAAAAATCTTGGTGTAATATTTGATGACAGGTTGAAATTTGATCGCCAGGTTAGTTCGGTCGTAAAAAATGGCTTTTATCAGTTAAGAATTTTATCAAAAGTGAAAGGGTACCTGCCACAAAAAGATCTGGAGACCGTAATCCATGCTTTTATTAATACAAGATTGGATTACTGTAACTCTTTATATGCTGGCTTGGACCGCTCACTTTTACACCATCTGCTGTTGGTACAAAATGCAGCTGCCCATCTCCTTACTGCCACATGTTAAAGTGACCACATATCACCTGTTCTAGCCTCGTAGCACTGGCTCCCGATTGTTTTTAGGATAGATTTTAAAATTTTATCGTTTGTTTTTAAAGCTCCTTATGGTCTAGCCCCCCAGTATTTGACTGAGCTTCTCTAAATTCATGCCCCGGCCAGAACACTGAGATCTTCTAATCAGTTGCTGCTGGTCATACCTAAAACCAGACTTAAAACCAAAGGTGATCGTGCCTTTATGGGAGTGTCACTAAGACTCTAGAATAACTTGCCTTGGCATATTAGATCAGCAGGCTCCTTTGAGGTTTTTAAATCCTCTTTAAAAGCACACTTCTTTTCCCTAGCTTTTAATCAAGTCTAAGTGAAAATTGAGCAAATATTAACTTTAAAATTTTATTTTATTTTAAAATGTGTTTTAATTGAAACATTTATCCTACTATATTTAACCTCCATTCATTTTTTCTTTTTGTAATGTATTTATGTATTTTATCTTATGTTCCTTAACTGTGATTCCTGGAAAGCACTTTGGTCAGCCCCGGTTGTTTTGAATGTTTGAATGATTAGGTCTTCTTTTGTTCTGGTTGTGTGAAAACTGAGTAGTTTGTTTATAGCAGAAAACAGTAAAGAGAACTGCCCATAATAGTTTTCAGGGGTGTGGAAAAGACTCTGGATGGATATAAAAGAATGCAGAAAGGAACAGAGCACTAAGACACAGGGGTGACAGCAGGTAGGTCTGACAACAAAGAAAAACCTTCAGACATGTAAGATTTGTCTTTTTGAATCACACATCTGATTCTGTTTTATCTCTCGTAAAACTGTAACCAATAGATTGTGAATCGCAGTTTCTCTGTCTGCTATAGTTTATTACTGAATTGTCTTTTTGTACTTTAGCACAATATCAGCTGCAACATCATTGTTTATATATACAGTCTGTTGTTTGCTATTGTTTTTGCTAACAATTCTCTTATATTAATTTATTTCTTACTCAGATTAAACAACCGAAAGAAGCTGAACCTTTTGGCATCCGACAGAACTTCATCTCGTCAGTTGTTTGCCAAGCCACCAAGATGATTCGCCTTTTGCTGTTCTTATGCACCCTTATATTTCTGACAGGTATTTAAAAACACACACGCGTATTATATATGCACAAACATTTGCTGTTATTGCTGGAATAAAAAGCTTTATGTCAAACATTATATTGATGAAACTGAATACAAATATTTATATCAACACAGCATTTTTACCTTTGTTCCTTTCCACTGAAACCAAATATTTTAAAATGGTCAAGGATCTTAATCTAGCATAAATCTTGAAGTCCTAAAGTATTGCCAGCTGTGATTAAGCATATGGAAAAATGTATTAACCGACAACATGGAGGGCAGAGGAGGGTAGATTAAAAAAGAAAAAAACAGCAGCTCTGGAGTTCTGGTCCTCTGAAAAACGGCATTGCAGCAGGCTTAATTTTCAGAGTCTTTGGCTCAGATCTAGGTAGAGAAAGATACATCCTCCCAGTACTGCTGCTGGTTGGACAGAAGGAGGAGCGGTTCCAGTCTATTCAGCTTCTCAGGAGGGAAGGCGCTTTGCGCATCCCACATCCCACACTAACCCAAAAGAAAACACAACGCAGAGTCCATAGCGTGTCTTCCAACAGCTGAAGGTTAAAGAGGTAAAGCCTGGGTTACAAGATAATTGATAACATACATAATAAGTTAATCACTGTAGGAGTTTTTTTATATCTGGAAAAAAGCCTTCAATACTATGGTCATCAAATATTAATATAAAAATTTGAGCAAAATGGCATTCCAGGAGTTTCACTGAACTGAGTCCAATCGTATTCTTCTAATAGGAAACGATATGTACAGCTAGGGGAATTCTCAACTAGAAGACTCTACATCACTTGTGGTGTGCCTCAGGGATCAGCTTTGGGCCCTAAACTGTTTCATTATATATAAATGATCTTTGTCATATCTCAGCAAAATTTAAGCTTACAATCTTTGCAGACGACAGTAGCATAGTCTGGTGAGTGAAAGATCTACAGCTCCTGATGACTGAAATCTCAAGCAAAAACTTTTTTTATAATGAGTAATCGATTAACATTTCTAAAAGTAAGACGTTTGCTATGATTTAATGAATTTAGTGTTAATCAGTAAAAAATGAATATTCCCGTCAGTAAAAAAAAACAAAAAACAGATTTTTCGTCGCCATCACTGAGTCTTGGAGCGGCCATTTATGCCCAAATATAGCAACCCCTCCCTCCTGCCATCTTCCAGCAGTGACGTCACGGTGCGGTAAGCCTAGCGCCATTCTCCCCGCTTTACAAGCAAAATCAATGGGAACTACTAGACACATCTGCAATCAACAACAATTATTGAAGATTTCCAGAGGACTTCACCATTGAAATTCACCAGAGCTATAGTGAAACTGACAATGCCCACGTGCATGGCAGCTGGATGCTGGAATACATCGGGTAAAAGAGAAAAAAAAAGAGTTATTCCACCTTTCTGATTCCTGGTCCTCCACGGACGGGTTGGTCGTTGGATCGCCAACTTGAAGAGGGAGGATTTACCATCGAACTTCTGGCCAGAGAAAAAACACGTAATATGTAGCCAACATTTGGAAGAAGAATGTTTTCAAGATGACTTGGATAATAGCGCGTTGTGACAAACACCAGATACAGCAGTAGGACTTGATCAACAGCCGATACCGCACCGTGACGTCACAAACCAGTAGGTGGCAGTAGTGTTCTTTGGCATGGATTTCAAATTAAATTACTCTTAATTTAGAACACTTATCATTTATTGAACAGTATGAAATTATTATATATATAAAATACTTTCAGAAGTTGGAATTCTGAATATTACTGGACTTTTCCTTTAAAAGTCTGGGGCTCAGCCAAGCAGAAGTTATGATCTGGAACCAGTTAGATATGGAAATAAAAAGGAGTACCACACTAAGACAATTTAAAAGCATGTATAAATGTGTTGTCTTTTAAAAATATTCAGTAACCCAAACACTTAACTGTAAAAATTTGCAACATTTTCTATATATACTACGGTAATAGATATCTTTGTCTCTATGTAAAACTGCTTTCAAAATAAGACTCTGTATTCGTGTAACTGTGCTTTGATTTGTAATGCCTACTTTTAGCAAAAGATCCTACTTAAAATCAAATATTGGTCAGTGAAGCAACTTGAAACTGAAAAAAGTAATAATAAGTATAATAAATATAAATATTTTTTTAATGATTCAATTTAAATCAGATTAGTCTAACTTCTAAACAGGTCTGAACAAAAAAAAAGATTGAACTTTGAACTTAATATTTTTTGTTCAGCCTTTTGCAATCAAACTGACTCTGCGTCTTCCCACAATGACTCTAGCCAGCATATTTCTCTCCAGAATGCCTTTATAGTCCAAAGATTACGTCTAACCCTGCAAAGATTCCATCAACATCTTGACCGCAAATCTTTTTGTGTAAACTGGCTGGAATCCATGATCTGAATTCTTCACCCCCATATTTATCCATCCAATTCCCCCACAAACTCCACACAATGTTATAAAATAGGATTATGTAACAAATGTGACTTATCTAAGGATGGTTTTTCTCTTAATGGTTATCTGCTTGTACTTGAAACAACAAAATTAAAATAAAAGTAATAGGCTGTGTATTTTAGCATGGACTTACTGTATGTTCTAGATTGCCTAATTCAAAACCAAACTGAGGTAAACCAAGAATACAGGAGATGCTCCTGAAATGAACACATCATCTTGACAGAATTTAATTTCTTTTTCTGTTGTTTGACTTTTATTGTGGAAGTTATTATTAACAGTATCTCTCTCTCTCTCCCTCCCTATATGTTGTAGAACAAGCTCTCTCATGTGTAGTGGGAAGTTGTTCTGCAGGCATGGACTGCATCAGCGTAAATGGAGCTCTTCAGTGCGTCGATCCCTGTAGCCACTATACTGAACTACATGATGATTGGCGCTCAGTGAATAACACAGACCAGTCCAATATAAAGTGTGACCAAAATATTAACTGGGATGGCTGGTATCGTTTTTATCTAAACCAGATCAGTGCTTCTATTCCTGAACACTGTGTGGAAAAAAACCGATGTGGGACAAATGCTCCTTTGTTCATAACAGAGCCTCATCCTGCACAGATCAATGAAATTGTGACACGCAATGTGTGTGGTCACTGGGGCTCTTCCTGTTGTCAGTTTGCCTCAAACTCTATAAAGGTCAAGCTCTGCCCTGCAAACTTCTACATTTACAAACTTCAGAAACCATCTAATTGCCATCTTGCTTACTGTGCAGGTACTGTTCCATGATCACTATTATTAATATTTTTAAATGTTTCAGTGTTTGTCTTTAACCCAGAACATCTTGATATAATTCTCTTTCCAGATATAGCTCCGCAGAACGTGTTTGATTTAAAATCAGTGGGACAAACTGAGACCAGCATCACTCTACAGTGGGGCAGATCAAGCAGCATTGTCAACTTTGTTCTCCAGTATAATGGTATCGAGACACAAGTCGGAGCACAGAGTGGAAGTGGACCGGTAACATACACCGTTTCATCCCTCACCCCAGCAACTAAATACACCTTTACTGTTTCTGATGTGCTTGGAAATGTTACAAACCATGGACTACAACTTACAGCTGCCACTGGTAAGATGCTTCACTTTTACTTTTGAAGGAACTTCATCATTATCATTATTTTCACCATCAGCAGCATTTGCTTGAGATACAAAATTTCCTGATTAAATTTTCAGCTTCTATAGAGCTTAGAACTGACATGGGAGACATAATTATTTATAAGGTGGACATGAAATACTAAATCGTTCCCACAAAATATTAATTTGTGGCCACAAAGTATTTCTTCGTGAGCAAAAAATACTAATTAGTTCTCTCGAAAAACCAATTTATGCGCAAACTTGTTTTCATTATGTAATTATTGGTTATCTAACACCTGATTGGTCACCCTGCACATTCAGGCGAAGCAAATCGATTACAGAGACTCAATTCGCCTTAACCCCGCCCCCTAACTTTGATGGGTGAGTTTGACAGATTCTTTTAATGGCTTTGATGCACTGCGACACAGGACCATGAAATAATTAAATGCACACTGAAATAATTATATATATATTTTTTTTAATAAAATGAAGACGTATTTTATTTATTAAATTGCACATTTAATTAATTGTTTATCGTTGTATTTATTTATTTAATTGTGGCACTTTATATTAGTGACATGGTTTTAATTAATGAATGACACATTTATTTATTTAATTCCACATTTAATTAATTATTTACACATTTAATTATTCATTTAATGCTGTATTTATTTATTTAATTTTGGCACTTTTTATCCTCCTTAGAAGAGGGATCCAATGAAGCAGTAAATAATTGAATTCATTACTTGGCACATGGTATTGTGTGCATCTTACTGTATAGTCAGCTGCAAATATTAAAAGAGGTAGCTATGGTCTGTAGGTGGAGAAGATGCAGGCAGAGAAAGGGCCTTCTCTTTTAGAGCTTTAAATGACAGGGGAAAAAAACTAGAACCTCTTGCCTAAGATGACTTGGAGATTCAATTTCGGTTTCAATGCAAAGAAAGGGCCCAATCTGGGTGTTAAAATAATGTATTTCCTTTGAAGAAAAACAATATTTCTATCAGTTTTTTAGTGTTTCATGTTTGAAATTCAATTTTCACATTAAAAAATACATTCAGTGTAACGGGCAGGGACTAGACCTAGAGTTCAAACCAGCGCAGGTAAGAGACTTTTGATGCAAGCTTTATTGAAATATAACTTAAAAGCGGAGGTTCAGGGGCGGGCTGCTTGCTCCAAAACAGGAAATCTCCTGTAGCAGAGACAACAGGTTAGTGATCAGCAGATAGTAACGGGCTAGAGAGAAAGAAGCTGTATCACTAACCTGATTACGGGTCTTCCGAGTCTGGGGAACCGACCTGATGTCAGAGAGCCGGTCCGGTTATGGAACCCGACTTGGTCCAGGGCTTTGGGGGGTTACTGTTGGTACGGCCAACAGGCAGGCAGGCACTCCGTTCAGGGTTATCCAGGGTCGTTATCCAGAGGGGTCCGGTGTCCATACACATAATTATATATATTTTTTTTAATAAAATGAAGACGTATTTTATTTATTAAATTGCACATTTAATTAATTGTTTATCGTTGTATTTATTTATTTAATTGTGGCACTTTATATTAGTGACGTGGTTTTAATTAATGAATGACACATTTATTTATTTAATTCCACATTTAATTAATTATTTACACATTTAATTATTCATTTAATGCTGTATTTATTTATTTAATTTTGGCACTTTTTATCCTCCTTAGAAGAGGGATCCAATGAAGCAGTAAATAATTGAATTCATTACTTGGCACATGGTATTGTGTGCATCTTACTGTATAGTCAGCTGCAAATATTAAAAGAGGTAGCTATGGTCTGTAGGTGGAGAAGATGCAGGCAGAGAAAGGGCCTTCTCTTTTAGAGCTTTAAATGACAGGGGAAAAAAACTAGAACCTCTTGCCTAAGATGACTTGGAGATTCAATTTTGGTTTCAATGCAAAGAAAGGGCCCAATCTGGGTGTTAAAATAATGTATGTCCTTTGAAGAAAAACAATATTTCTATCAGTTTTTTAGTGTTTCATGTTTGAAATTCAATTTTCACATTAAAAAATACATTCAGTGTAACGGGCAGGGACTAGACCTAGAGTTCAAACCAGCGCAGGTAAGAGACTTTTGATGCAAGCTTTATTGAAATATAACTTAAAAGCGGAGGTTCAGGGGCGGGCTGCTTGCTCCAAAACAGGAAATCTCCTGTAGCAGAGACAACAGGTTAGTGATCAGCAGATAGTAACGGGCTAGAGAGAAAGAAGCTGTATCACTAACCTGATTACGGGTCTTCCGAGTCTGGGGAACCGACCTGATGTCAGAGAGCCGGTCCGGTTATGGAACCCGACTTGGTCCAGGGCTTTGGGGGGTTACTGTTGGTACGGCCAACAGGCAGGCAGGCACTCCGTTCAGGGTTATCCAGGGTCGTTATCCAGAGGGGTCCGGTGTCCATACACAGAGAGACAGATATCCAGTGGCAGTACAGGTAGGGTTTGCCAAGAGAAGAGGTCCAGTTTCGGTCCAGATCTGTTAACAGGCAGGCTCAGAGATTTCACAAGGGATAGGGGCAAATTCGGTACTCACTAGCAAGCAGGGTCAGTTTCACGAGAGGGTTTCACTGGGTCAGGCTGGTAGGCAGGTCCAAGGATAGAATCGGGTCAGGCAAGAGACAGGCAATCAAAAAAGGCGAAATACTGGAATGCTGGTGAAGCTGGCTAGAGACAATCTGGCAGTGTCAGCTGATCTGCACAGGGTTTATATGAGGTGAAAACAGTTGGAACCAGTAAGGGCTGATTGCAGTTGAGCAGGTTTGATGAATGGTGGATCAGACCAATAACAGAGCTGAGACTGTCACATTCAGAAGTTCCATTAAGAGGCGATCAGAAACACTTTTACATATTTAAAAATGTATTTTTGATTTTAGATTACATGATAGTTAATTTCTCTTGTGTATTATTTTACAATATGACATCCCTTTTGACCAGTACATATAATTATCTTTTAAAGTAACTTCCTGTTACACTGTGAAAATGGCACGGCTGAGGTTAGAAGTGATTAAGCCCACTCTTCATTCAGCTCAATGTTTGAAGCCAAAAAAGTAATCTGCTGATGTAATTTCTGAGTTTGTTTTGAATGTTCAGACCTTGTACGTTCTTGCAACTTGTACTAGTAGAGTGATATATTTGGCTCTTGAAATGACGACCAAACATTGAACCAATCGGAGAGTTGGGGGAATTAATTATTTGTCTTCTTTGTGTCCCAAACTAATCAGCCCAATTGTGTGATAATTTATAATACAAGCTATCATTCTTCAAACTTTCCCACTTTAGGATTGATTTTTATTTTCTTTGTATGAATTACTAATTAATTCATATTTCCACCTGATATTTCATGAACTTGCACGATATAATTGACATGTAGTGTGATGCAACGTTTAAAACATTTCTAAATTTGCTCTTCAGCTCCTCAAAATCCAACTGGCCTGCTGTCCTTAAGTGAAGACCAGTATAACTCTGCAGTGGCAAAGAGTGAGCAACGTCACAAACTTCATTCTGCAGTTCAACGGTACCATGACAAGAGTTGATGCTCCAGCTGGAAATGGACCAATAAATCACACAGTCTCATCACTTTCTGCTGAAACCACATACACCTTCACGCTGTTCTCTGTGTTTGAGAATGTTCAAAGTACTGGAGTCCAACTTGTTGCTCAGACTGGTAAGATTTTAATATTATTTGTCATTTTCTGATGATGGGCAGCGAGCTTCTTCTCTTCTTAGAGATACTTGTGTAATTTATGTTTGATGAACATCAATTGCAGTTCACATTTTCATATTTACACTAAGTTATCTAGAATTTCATACCATCTCTATTTCACACTCTCAGAAAGTTTGTGTTTTCATATCTGCAGGATCTTCTTCAGAGATATTCAATGCAGCTAAGATGTTCAACCTCACCTTGTGCCCCATATTTTTTTATCAGAACATGTACCAGCAGGTCTATGTAAGTAAAAGGGAGTCACATTCTTCAGAATAAACCTGAATATTTGCTAGCGTGGGTTATGAGGCGAGTTTTTAACATGCAGCAGCAAGTTCATCCATCCCATTTAGTGGTTGAATCTTAATGTTTAGTTATAAGATTCTATATATTTTATATCAAGTCTTTGTTTTGTTTTTATTTTGATTTTAGTATAGGAAATTGGATGTCTCTGACCAAACATTCCAATGTGAATCATCTGTGGCTAAAGATTAAATGCATGGAGTACAAGGGTAGAAAAAAACACTGTAGTGGTACCTTTATGCACTTAATATATTAATATTTACCGTACCTGTATGCAGATAAAAGAGTGAATCTGAAAGTATAAAATTCACCAACATAAAGAGTGAGCAGAAGACTTAAAGACAAGCCTAAATACTTTGTCTGCACATTCGTCAAATCGTGGATAATTCCCCACCTGACTGCTTTCTTCCAAAACCATGTTGCAAACCAATCACACGTTTGAAATTCTGCATCATCCCTTTTTTTGTTTTGTTTTTAACAGGTCAACTTCACCAATGAGAACTTTGTGATTTGCTTCAATGGTTTTTACAACCTCAGTAGCGACGGTGACTGCATTATTGGGCCTAAACCGGACTCTGAGGAGGCGAAATTCAAGATCAGGGAAAAAGATGCTTCGTATGAAGCACAAGTCAAAGGAGCAGTGCAAACCATCACCAGCAGCATGAAGTGCTATGTGCATTTTGAGTTGATGTACATGAACAAAGAAGTAAGTATCATGTCCAAAATGCCATTTGAAGACATTTTTTAATTCCTCCTGCTTATAGATTAACACTTTACTAACCGACACATGAAATCCCTAAAGTACCTCATTAAAAAAGTGTTTCTTTTTTAATGAAGGTAAACCTAAACCTCTTCAGTTTTGGGGAACAAGCAGCTCTGCATTTCAGTTCTGTCTCCAATGACCCCGAAGAGGTAAGTCTTTTTTTGGTCTGTTATTTGTATATTTACTGTACATTACTTATTGTAAGACAAAGAAATGTCTTTGAAAACAATATTATGAATAAAATTCTTAAGGTAAAATGTAGTTATGAACTATTTAAACAATAATCTCCTATCTTTATGTTTCTTTCTTTTATGCTCTCTGTTTAGAACAATAACAAACTATTTTTTTGCTTTTATAGACGGCAGATGTAAAAGTTGAGGGGAGGCTAGCTGACTCTGTGCCTCTTGGATTAGCTGACTCTGGTGGATTTACAGACATCAGCGGCTGCAGGATGTCAGGTTGGTGAATCGCTTTTTTTTGTCCTAAATCTGTGAAGCAATGCTGAAGAGAAGTCAAAGGTGTTCTTTGAGTTTTGACTCCCAAAAATCTCCCTTTATTCTTCAGGCCTTGGGATTTTACCCAACTCCACAGTACGTTTCCAGAAAACCTGCTCAACCTTAACCTGCAGTGTCGACAGATCTGTCACTTCAACAAGCTGTGGAGACCAGGAGGAATGTGACGGTCATGGCAGGTAAACACTATTTACTTTTATAATGTAAAATCCTGGTTAGGCAGAAAGCTATGGACTATCAACACTAGAACCTCACACCACAAGAACCGTTCATTTAGCTTCTGAGGTCAGTCTCATCAGTAAAGACCCCCCCCTATTGATGATGAATGAGTTACTTTAACTAACATGCCAGAGAGAAAGGAGACAGAGATAAAAAAAAATATATATATACACTATATTGCCAAAAGTATTTGCTCACCCATCCAAATTATTGGAATCAGGTGTTCCAATCACTTCCATGGCCACAGGTGTATAAATTCAAGCACCTAGGCATGCAGACTGTTTTTACAAACATTTGTGAAAGAATGGGTCGCTCTCAGGAGCTCAGTGAATTCCAGCGTGGAACTGTGATAGGATGCCACCTGTGCAACAAATCCAGTCGTGAAATTTCCTCGCTCCTAAATATTCCACAGTCAACTGTCAGCTGTATTATAAGAAAATGGAAGTGTTTGGGAACGACAGCAACTCAGCCACGAAGTGGTAGGCCACGTAAACTGACGGAGCGGGGTCAGCGGATGCTGACGCGCATAGTGCGAAGAGGTCGCCAACTTTCTGCAGAGTCAATCACTACAGACCTCCAAACTTCATGTGGCCTTCAGATTAGCTCAAGAACAGTGCGCAGAGAGCTTCATGGAATGGGTTTCCATGGTCGAGCAGCTGCATCCAAGCCATACATCACCAAGTGCAATGCAAAGCGTCGGATGCGGTGGTGTAAAGCACGCCGCCACTGGACTCTAGAGCAGTGGAGACGCGTTCTCTGGAGTGACGAATCGCGCTTCTCCATCTGGCAATCTGATGGACGGGTCTGGGTTTGGCGGTTGCCAGGAGAACGGTACTTGTCTGACTGCATTGTGCCAAGTGTAAAGTTTGGTGGAGGGGGGATTATGGTGTGAGGTTGTTTTTCAGGAGCTGGGCTTGGCCCCTTAGTTCCAGTGAAAGGAACTCTGAATGCTTCAGCATACCAAGACATTTTGGACAATTCCATGCTCCCAACTTTGTGGGAACAGTTTGGAGCTGGCCCCTTCCTCTTCCAACATGACTGTGCACCAGTGCACAAAGCAAGGTCCATAAAGACATGGATGACAGAGTCTGGTGTGGATGAACTTGACTGGCCTGCACAGAGTCCTGACCTCAACCCGATAGAACACCTTTGGGATGAATTAGAGCGGAGACTGAGAGCCAGGCCTTCTCGTCCAACATCAGTGTGCGACCTCACAAATGCGCTTCTGGAAGAATGGTCAAAAATTCCCATAAACACACTCCTAAACCTTGTGGACAGCCTTCCCAGAAGAGTTGAAGCTGTTCTAGCTGCAAAGGGTGGACCGACGTCATATTGAACCCTATGGATTAGGAACGGGATGTCACTTAAGCTCATATGTGAGTCAAGGCAGGTGAGCAAATACTTTTGGCAATATAGTGTATTTGTGCTTTAAATTGTTTTTTTATGTTGAGAAAATGTGTTTTAATCTCGCTAATAAATCTTTTTTGTTTAAAAACTTATGGTTCTACTTTAATCTGTGACATCATCTGATTAAAGGCTTCTACAAAGGAAGCTCCCAGTCTGAACTTCAACCCTAGCTCTCTGGTTCTATCACAGTATTACATATTAGCAGTTTTTTTATTGGCCAAGGTCAGAGGTGTGATAATCCAGGCCTTGAGTGCTAATCTTTAGGAAGCATCCCTGCTGCAACAGCCCTTGGGTCCGTTTTACAAAGCAAGTTTACAGAAAACTACGTTTTCTCAACCTGAATTCAAGGAAGCCGAGTTTTCCGTTTCCCAAAGAGAGTTTATGTAACCTCTGTTTCTGTTACCATAGTAACATTCTAAACTCAGTGTCCTTTGCCTCCACTCTTCTTTTAGCCAATCAGGATGTCTTATTTCCTTATTTGATTGGAAGAGTTCTCTTGTAGTTACCTGCAAGCAAGAAAAATCATTCACTTGGTTCATTAGAGACACTAGGTATTAAAAACACAAATATATCATGTCTTTTAGATGAAGATCCAATAAAAAACTGAGCTGCATTAATTCTCAGAGATTTCCATATTTATAGGGAGAGGTTTCTCAGACAGCGTTTTGGTGTCCTTCATATTCAGAATGTTCCATTTGTTGCAGGACTAGAAGAACCAGAGATACAGATTCCTATGTTCTCTAGTTAAAAGACAGTAAATGACTTCCTTCCTGTGATGGTGGCAAACTCAATTAGATCAACAGCTAACATAATGCTAAGTAAGCTAATTGCATGTTACATTGCACAGTTGACTGATTGATTTGCTCTCTGTAAAGAATCTTGAGATGACTTGTGATGTGAATTGGTGCTATATAAATAAACTGAATGGAACTGAATAGAATAATTTCAGTTTCCGAAATACTTTCAAACCTTTGGCCATGTGGGCCAAAACTGTCAATCTGACACTAAATGAGACATTTTTTTTCTTCTTGAATTTAAAATTAGATATTTTATCAAATCTTTCATTTTTATCTATACAACTAAAAACAAAACAAAAGCTAAATCCAATAAAATGTCTGTTTAGAGATCTGAAATATAAAATCTAATTCTTTATCAAAAAGTGCAAACAGTATTTTAACACTGAAGTAAATGGCTTGAGCAGAAGCTGCATGTCAGGAAAGTTTCAACCCAGGTGAGCGCAGAGGTGGCTTCAACTCTAATATGAACGTATCTTTATATGTCTTTCTCCATCAGGTGCTTTATAAACAGGATCTGCACTGTGACCGGCCCCACTGTGGTCGACTCTCAAGGCTATCAGAGCTCTGTGACGGATCGGTGCATGTACTCTCTGCTGTCAGACTCATCCAGCAGTTTTGAAGTGCTGGCTAACTTCCAGGAACGTCGCCGTCGGGATGTGAGCTTTTTGGACCGTGTGAGCCTTCGACCCTTTGGCTCAAATGATTACTTTCACCTGGAACAAGGTGGCAGAGTAAAGGTAATTCCCAGCAAATCTGATTAATATTCCTCTATACTGCTTTCCTTGGCCACATAGGTTCTCTTCCTATGACTAACTGCTCTTCCTTGGCTCTGCTGCACACAGATGAACGAGACATTGTTGACCCTGAACAGTTCAGCCCAGCAGATTCAGAATATTTTGTTAAGCAAGGACAAAACTGGACTGTCAGCAGTGTTTTCATTCTCTGGGCTGAAAATATCAGTGATGTTTGATGGCTACACGGCACAGATCCACATGAATGGTAGGGAACCTATAAGGCAGTAAGAAGTCCTTAATTACTTGTTTGATTTTTTTGTGTTCCTAACTGAATATAATCTTTTTATTACATTTAAGGGCACGATAATTTATTTGTTTAACGGTTTTCAGGGCAAGTAATTTCTTTTATCAGTTATTTATTCGTAGTGCCTGCTGGTAGTGGTCAGAGTGTACAGGCTATTTACCTTTTATATTCTGTATTTATTCCTAATTATTGTGGGATTAATCCTCAATTCATGGATTCATTGTTTCTATAGCAACAGATACGTAACATTTTAATCTCTAAATGTGCAAAAAGGACACAGCCTGTAAGATGTGAACCTGTAATTGAAGCCAAATGGTGGTTGGCACATGGAGGCTGAATTTAAAACAACAAATAATAGATTGATGTTGTGTGATATGATGGCAGGAAAGCTACCAATAGTTTCTACACTAGACAAATATTTTAGTGACCTTCTCTTTGACTGATGCTGCTTTTACCAACATTATGTCTGGAATCATTTAGTACCTGTTGGATCATCGATGAAGGGCCTATGTGTTGACTCCAGGAACATTTCAAGTGTGAAACGTCTTGATTTAAGCTCTCCAAGGTACGACGTTGTTATGAATAAGCAGTTAAAAACAATTATTTTGCATTTCAAAGGATTCCCCCAAAAACATGAAGCTGAGTTGTCCTTTTATTTTTTTATTTTCATTTTGCCAGCTGTGAAAGGCAGTATGAAGATCCTGTCGACAGTCAAATAAACTGCAACATGACAACTGAATAGTGAGTAGATTTATAAAAATCTCTGTTATTCTTTGGGGTCATTTTCATGCTATATGGCATTATGTACGATGACCTAAAGTGGAAGAATAATTGATTTTCTTTCCTTTCTGTGTGATAAAGCTGTAACCTGTTAAGAGTCCCCCCCTTCTCCTGCAATGATCACATCGACCCAACTCCCTACATCAATGCCTGCAGCAGCACTTTGTGCAAATATCCTTCTGTGGACGACCTCAGATGTCAGTTTCTGTGGGGCTACGCCAGAGCCTGTAGCCTGCAAAGCAACATAAAACTGGAGGGCTGGTGGTCAGAAGCAGGATGCTGTAAGACAATCCCAGCTTCAGGGCTACGTTTATACAGTTTGCATGTTTTCAGAATAAAATGTCACTTTCCTTCCCTGCAGCCGAGCCTCAGGCTTTTTGCCAGGACAAGCTCTGCGGTGATCATGAATTCTGTGGCAACAAGCATAGTGGGAAGACTGGCTGCCTCTGCAGAGCCCTTTTTGCCTCCAAGTACAAAGTGTCTGGCACTCTGGGTGGGACATTGCTGAGAAATACACAATAATACTGAGTCTTTGGGAAAAGACATAGATCAGAGTTTTTAAAGATGCTTTAATTCCCAGGTGAGCCAGCGGTCTGCAAGCAGAACTCTGGTTCCATCACTCTTGTTGGCTGCCTGCTAGAGGAAAAAGGCATCGACTACTCAGTGTTGCACCTCAACGACCCGAGCTGCAGGGGCGTGATGGACGAGGAGAGCCACACAGTGACCTTTAGCTTCGACAGCAGCAATACCTGTGGGACGGAGATCACGGTGGGATCTTAGATTCATCCCTGCATTCCTCTTTTTTGGAATCATTTTGTGTTTCTTGTCAATTTTCTCATCCATTGGGTTCAATAATATAACCAAAAAGCAAAACAAGAGATAACTGCCATGTATCTCCAAGTTAAAATGAATGAATGTCTGATTCGGCAGAGAAATGGCAGCCAGGTAAACTACGAGAACACCATCATGACCCAGAAGAGCTCTGATGTCATCACTCGCCATGATCAGGTGTACATCAACTTCTCCTGCCACCATACTCAACCTGAGATAAAGGTGGTGGAGCTCAGAATTAAAGACAAGTGAGTGACTGCAGGCAACTTTTGTTTCAGTCATGATGGAAATGTTTTCAGTGAGTGTCCGAGTTTAATAAGCCTCCATGTGTTTGGTTGCTCTGCAGCTCTGTGGTCCAGCACATCAAATCTGGAGAATGGAGCTACTCTGTGTCTATGAAAGCATATGTGAACGCTGGCTACACAAAACCTATCGATTCTGCTGTGCTGCTAAACCAGAAAATCTGGGTGGAGCTGAAGACCGACGGACTGGATGCTAACACGGTTGCCGTGGTGATCGACTCATGCTGGGCAACCAGCCAGGAATCAGACAGCAGCAAACCAAGATATGACTTGATTAATGATGGGTGAGATGCAGACATGTAAAGCGAAAATGATGAGAATCATAGACGTGTTTTCAGATTGGGCTTAAAGACTCACATCAAATGTTTTTATTTATCCCAGCTGTGCTAACCCAAATGACGGGACAGTGGAGGTGGAAGCAAACGGAGAAGGAACCTCCTGCTACTTCTCTTACAACATGTTTGAGTTCTCTGGGAGCGCTGGTGAAGTCTACCTTCACTGCAAACTGCAGCTGTGTCTCAAACACCAGAACAACTGTATTCCGGTGAAAAAACTATCCAAACACATTTCCCTTCATTACTTATAGGAGCTCTGATGGTTTTAAATGCAAAACTAAACTGACTCTTCTTAGTTTGTGAGAAGATAATTCTTCAGAAAATGATGTCTGTAAATATGTGGCACTGGTCTGCAGAAATGTAATGTTTCTTTGTGTTTTAATGTCAGGATTGCTCCGGTGGATTTAGGAGAAGACGAAGGTCTGCGACTCTCAGAGATGGAGACCCAGGCTTCATCAGCCTGGCCTGGATTCATTAGGCAAGACACTTTGTTTTTCTCATGCATTGCCAGAGCTGTCACTGTACTTCAGAAGCTGGAAATGGCAATTTAAATAAGCTGTTCTTTAAAATAAAGAATTTAGGTATTTGTTAAACTATTCATGAGGCTAGTAATTCATTAATTAAGCTTATTTATATCTTAAACTTAGTCTTAATTAAGTTTATTTATATATGTGTTGTTGATTCTGCCAGGAGGACGTAAGTTTTACACACACATTTATATAAACATATATAAAGAATATAAAACATATATCAATGAAAAGATTGTAGATGTGATAAAAAACTGTCACAGATATTAATATTTTAAAATTACGTTGAATTAAAATGACCAAGATCATTTGTAGCCTTTGATATAAACATCGATGTTTACCTGCTTTATTTTCATTCTCTGCTCCTCAGCCCGACATTCACGGCTCATAACAAACTAAAACCCAGATGGTTAGCAGCGATATTAAACCAAGAAGTGGCTAAAAAAAAATACTGACAGAGCAGGTTGTTAAAACAGCCTTTTGCAGAGGATAAATGTGTCACATTGACATTTCCTTGTTTTCTCAGGAGGCTTCCATGTGAAACTGGACTGAGCGGCCGGCTGCCGACCTTTATGCTGATTCCTGACTTCAGTCCTGATCTAGCAGATGGGATGTTTAGAAGTATTGGGTGTTTCTTGCTTTTAGGATGGTGCTTCTACTGCTCTTTTAGTAAATATAATCTGGGGAAATAAAGAAGTAAATAATCCTGAAATAAGCTTTCTGTGGTTTGGATTAAATTGGATGTGGGGAAGCATGTGGGCTACATTTAAGCAAATTAATTTGTTTTCTTTTAAAGAATAATGTTTATGATCTTTTAATAGACATTAATGCATTGCAAACCTTGTACTTTCACTTCTTAGAAACAAAATGCTAAAATAATACAAATAAAGATTCCATGCAGATTCCATCTCCTGTTTTATTTATTTTTTTTACTTTCAATGCTTTGCACAGTAAAATTGCTCAGGAAGCCTTCCTGCATGAAGTGGTGATGAAACCATCGGTGCTTGGAATAATCTGTTTAATTTATCTGTAGATGTGTCATGATGGGTAATCTGAGCTAGCCCAAAATGGAGAACACACACGGAGGCTGATGAAAAGTTTAACAACATTTATTGAAACATAAGCACGTGAATATTGCACTGGAACAGGTTCTGGCCAGGGGGCAGGTTCACTGGAGTCTGCAAGGATGATAGTTCAGTTAGCTCAGGGACCGGGAAGTTATGAGTCAGAGAGTTTGATGATGTATACCTTGAAGGAGTCCGGGTATCTCTTTGAGAGAGGAACTGTTGGGTCCAGAGACTGTTTGGTTCAGCAGAGTTCAATAACCGCTTCAGCGTCTTACTTCTGACCTTGAGGGCAGACCTTGATTAGGGTTTCCAGCTCTTAGCCAAGAGCTGCAGGGGAATCCAGGGAAGAGTCTTCAGGTTTGGCTCACGAGGGCAGGCTCGACAGGTTAAGCTCATCCAGAGCTTCAAGGAGAGACAGGATTCCTGTGAGGCAAAAACAAGGAAGAGTTAGAATCTTATCTCAACAGGAGATAGCAAAGATTCTCAGGTTTTACTAGGCTCGGGTGCTAACCAAACTAGATCAACACTGCGGCGTTGAGGCAAGGTCTGAAGGCAGGTTATATACTGGAAGATCCTCTAATGACGAGATGCGCCACAGGTGTGTTGCGGGCTCAGCTCAGGAGGATCCACGACGCACTCTGCTGGAGAAAGGTGGCACAGCTCCAGATCCCAACAAGATGGGAAATATACCTCCAGACAAATAAAACTGACTCAGTGACTCTTTGTTAAGGGAATATAAAAACACTCTCAAACGTTATCTGTTTAAAGCCTTAGTGGTATTTTTCTCTTTTAGATGTCAGGAGTTCAGGCGTTCCATTATCTTCCTAAAAAGTCCTACATTAGAGTGTCAACAAGCTTTTCCATTGACTTTCTATGCTTTCTTCTAATATTTCTTTACTATAACAAAAGGCTCTTAAGTGGAAAAGTGATACATATATAATTCCCTTACATAATAATTACTGATGAATTTAAAATTAAGTATTAAATGCTTATTTCTATCACAGTGTTTGCATCCTCCCCTACTGTAAGCCTTTCAGTCAGCAGAGGGCAGTATTGATTACTGATCGCTAATGGAAATGAATGGATTTACAACACGTACTCGGGAACCACTCTATGGAGATCCAATGATGCAAAAATGCATGCTGATAAATATTAATTAATTTAAATATAAATCCAGGCATTCTATGTTTTGATTTTTACTTAAAATGTGGAAATTGTGCATCCTAGACTCTTCCATAGTGTAGTGTTTTTAAACATATTTCTGACAAGCATTAGCAAGTTGAGTTGATAGAGTTCAATTAAAATTCAAATTTGATTAATTCTGTTAATTGCAATATTAACATGGGAATACAAGGGTTTTATTAGTACAACTATTAGATAATATATTATAACTACTCATTCTTTTAAATGAGTTAAAAACTCTGATCAGAATCAAAGGTGTTAACAGAAGCAAACAAAAAAAGTGATTTTGAGCTTCATTGCATCAATATAAACATCTTTGTTCTGTCAAATTTGCAGTGAAATAAACCTACCTTTGAGTATCTAAAAGTTGGAATAAATCTCACTCGAATCTGCATGAATCTCAGTTGTATTTACAACATGAATAAAGTTAGACAGCTTTTGTATTGTTTTACATATTTCTATGAGCTCCCTTCTATGTGGAAGCTTTCCAGCTTTATTTTACTTTTTATTGTCACTGTAGTGTCACAAGTACAGAGCAATTGTGGGTCATACGTGTCTTATGCCCAGAGTGGCAGTCTGTGGGAGTCGGGCTTTAACTCAGAACCTCAGGAACCTCAGGATTCCAAGCTCTATCCGTAACCACCCTCCCCTCCTGCTACATGTTGATGTTCTAGTTGCCTTCTGAACCAACTACCAGTTTTAGTCCGTGAGGCAAACACCCTGTCTACTTTTAAGACTAGACTTAAAACTATTCTTTTTGATAAAGCTTATAGTTAGAGTGGCTCAGGTTATCCTGAGCTTTCTCTATAGTTCTGCTGCTATAGGCTTAGACTGCTGGAGGACATAGGGACCCCTTTTTCATCATTCTGCTTCATTCTATCTCTATTCTTCCACTCTGCAGAATCTGTTAGTTCAATACTGCTTTAGCTTTGCCTTTGCCTTATCTGTTCCTGTTTGGCTGTGACTCCATCCTGGAGAGAAATATCAGCTGTGCTGCTTCCATCAACTCCTTCGTTTATACATGTTGGAGCTTGGCCTGTTTTCCAGTGTAGTCCTGTTTCCCTGACTGTGACTAACTGGATGTGCTCTCTTCGTCCTCTGACATGGGAGCTGGCTCGGAGCTCGACTGCCTGGCTTTGTGTTTCCTGGATGGGGCCGCCTTTTACAGCTGCTTTTTGTGTCTCTGCTTCCGTCTCCTTGAACCCCAGTCGGCCTCAGCAGATGGCCGCTCACACTGAGCCTGGTTCTGCTGGAGGTTCCTCCCTGTTAAAAGGGAGTTTTGTTTTTTCTCTCCACTGTCGCTACAAGCATGCTTAGAGTGAGGGATTGCCTTCCAGTCAATGAGTCGATGCAATCAGCTGTTTTTTCTTAGATAGATAAGTTTTAATCAATTGGACTGGATGATCTGTTTGAACTGTAAAGTGCCTTGAGATGACATATGTTTTTAATGGTGTTATAAAAAAACTTAATTGAATTAAATTAAATTTGCACTTTAGCATATGAATGAGTGTTTCTGGATGCAAGTCATTGAATGTTATCATGATATAAAGCCCTTTGAGTGTTTGGTATGAATAGAAAAGTTTGATCTAAATCTTTTCTAAATCTGAACTTTTCATTGTCATTGCCATCAGTGTTCCTAATATAGCACCAGCCTGGATGTTAAAATGTCATATTTACACCAGCTCTAGTACCTAAAAGAAATATTTACACTGGTTTCAAATGTGTACTGCTACAAAATTTTACGTTTATCACCTTATTAACAACTCATTAAAAGACAAATAAATTATATTTTAGCAGTTTTAATGACAATATTGGATCAGATATAATCAGTTGCTGAGTAGTACATCCTTCGGTTGAACTTCGTTATCTGACGGTTTCATCCACATGTTGCTACTAAGCAGCTGATTAATGAAAAAAGTAAAATAAAGTTTGAGATATAAAGCTTAAAATATTAAACAGTAGATAACCCTCTAGAGCGGAGGTCTTCAACAGGGGGTCCGCGACCCCTAGGGGTCCATGGAGGTACTGCATGGGGGTCACGAAAGTTTTCGTTCATTAGACCCTTTTTTGTATATTCCCTCCTGCAATTCTTTTCACTAATAGAAATGTCTTTAAATCCACATTAACATGAATTCAACACACTGTAGTAAACAGATAATTAGAGACAGAAGATGTCTTTCAGACATCAATGCACACAGTATAAGACAGTCCAAATAATATCTGATCACATAGCATAATTAACACCCTGTCTAAGGTGGGCAATAAATATATCAATATTGCACATCACTGACTCCATCAATAGATGCATACAGCACCACAATGCAGAAATTTGATTTATTCATATCCGCAAGGAGAAAACTCAAAATTTTAAGTAGCCGTTTTTGAGTATGAATATTTAACATTCCTTTGTGGAAAAGGTAAAGTTCCCCATTTTTGTTGAAAAGCCTGGCGAATAAAACAGATTTTGATATAATATCTTTTATATGTGTTGTCATTATTGTGGTACTACCTTTCAACAAATTTAAAACCTTTATATGAGGAATAAATTCTTTATGCTGATGTTTGTAAGCTCAAAAAAAAAAAGTTCCTCTTACAGTAACTTTAAATAAAATGAGCACAAGCGATGCAACTTTATTTTCTGTTTTCAGTAAAAGTCCAGATGCCATGAAGAATAACAAACATTTAGTGTTATATATATAAACACTAAACATTGTTGAAATTCACACTGAAAGTAAAAACAACTAATAAAAAAATAATTTCAGAAATCAGAGTGGTGACACCAGCTATGACATCATCAGGCTTGGCGAGGGGCGTCATCACCATGGAAACAGTTGAAACCCTTACTGCTAGCTAAAAAGAAAATGTAGATATTTTGATTTTAGACTTTATAATTTTAAACAAAGCTGACTGATTGATGAGGAGCTCAAAATAAAAAAATATGAACAGTTACCTGTAGCTTTTCTTCGATACAAGAAAATCATACGGAGAGTTGAGATGAAGTATGGGCAAAAGACCACCAGGTGGCAGACCAGTCTGAGGTAGGTGGCTTTAGAGGTCGGCAGGGCTGTGGATACAGGTTTAATTAGACTAATTTAAACTCTAAAAGCCGTCATGGAAAACATCAGACCTCATCGTGGACTTCAGGAAGAACGCCGACCCACACCCCCCCATCCACATCAAGGGGACGGCGGTGGAGCGTGTGGACAGCTTCAAGTTCCTGGGTGTCCACATCTCTGAGGACCTGACCTGGACGACCAGCTGCTCCAAACTCATCAAGAAGGCCCACCAGCGCCTCTTCTTCATGGGGACCCTGCGGAAGAACCATCTGTCCACAGAGATCCTCACGAACTTCTACCGCTGCACCATCGAGAGCATCCTCACCAACTGTATCACAGTTTGGTATGGGAACTGCTCTGCCTCGGACCGGAAGGCGCTGCAGAGGGTGGTGAAAACCGCCCAGCGCATCGCCGGGGCACCGCTTCCTGCCATCCAGGACATCTACAGGAAGCGGTGTCTGAAAAGGGCCGGGAAAATCAGCAAGGACCCCACTCACCCTGCACACAGACTATTCTCTCTCCTGCCCTCTGGGAGGCGTTACAGAAGCATACGGACTAAAACCACCAGGCACCGGAACAGCTTCTTCCCCACAGCTGTCACGCTTCTGAACGCCTCATGACACGAACTATAAGGACTGTACTCCCATCCCCCTACACAACAATAACCATGGACGCTCCTCACACATACCACAAACTGCTTCCTCACACGCATTCACAATCCGTGTATATAATATGTCAACTTGTACCATACATTATAACCCCACTAATATATATATTTATATGATCCAGGTAACATCTCTGTATAGTTGTATACATGTATATAGTGTCTATATTCATTTACAGCCTCAATCACTGTTAATGCTGTTATACTGTTTATACATACATTTTATAGTCTATTTATACATACCCTCTGTACACTTGTAATGCATATTTATATCCTGTATAGCACTTCTGGATAGATGCTAACTGCATTTCGTTGCTTGTACTTGTGACAGTGCAATGACAATAAAGTTGAATTCTATTCTATTCTAATGATAGATGATAGATAAGTGCCAACTCAGATTTAATAAGGATCAGAACAAATCGTCTTTACCGGCTTCATTAAACTTTGGTGCAGCTTTTGATTCTGTTATACAGGTCCAGATAGATTGCTTGGTCTCAGTAATTCTACCATGTGTCTAAAGGGTCCTGTAAATAAAGACTGATACAATTTATTCTGGATAGAAAGTAGAACGCTCCCTGACCTTCAACAGAGATCCAGCTGGATGGAGACTCTCCATGACCCCTGATGTTACACCTGTAGAGGCCTTCATCAGAGCTGGTCACATGGTGGAGGGTCATGTGACCTTTGGGCTCAGTCCTGATGAGGGAGCCATCTTTATAGAAAGCAGCTGGGAGGTTGGAGGGAGTGGTCCAGGTTAGACAGCTCAGAGTGACGTCATCTCCCTCCATCACAGGGAGGACAGGACTCTGCAGGATCACTGATCCACCTCAACACAGAGACAAACTACAGCATTTCATCCATTTCCACACAGCTTCATCAACACTAACTCCACAGTCTGATCTTACCAGTGACAGTGAGCTGGATGCTGCTGCTGGCTGCTCCCTCTCTGGACGACCAACACCAGTAAATTCCACTGTCATCTACAAAGAGGCTGCTGATATTACAGGATGGACCAACACGTTTCCCCCATCCATATCCACACTCTGACTCTCTTCTACTTGTGTTCCTCCTTACGGTCCAGTCAGCTGAGCTGTTGTCCTCCTCACAGCTCAGAGATACAGCTTCTCCATCGAAAAACTGAGATCTAATGGGACTCACAGTCAGACCAGCTGGGGAAATGAAATAACAATAGTTCCTGTTAGTTTGAGCAACCTGTTTAAGGGTCAAATTGTCAGAAGCTCAGAATGTAGGTCCAAGAATTCAAGCAGACAGGTCAGAGTGTTTTCAAAGCAAGCGTTTATTAACTGCTGAGCGTACAGCAGCTCCTCAGCTGTGGCAGGATCACTGGATACTTTGTAGAGGTGGAAACTCAGGTTAGTGACAACAAAACTCAGATGGGAATCGATAATGAGCATGTGAGTCACTAACCTGGTTAAAGTTCAGTCTGAGCCCAGAAGAAAAACTGGAATCAAGAGGGATTGTTTCTCCACAGCAGGTGGCAGGAGCCGCCCCTACAGTTCCAGGAGAGAAGCAGAGCAGACGGACGAGCAGAAGTCAGCAGACACGCGTCGAAGCAGGAGCAGGTTTCCAGGCCAGAAGTTCAGAGATCCTAGGAGGTGCTGAAGGAGTTTCCAAGCCAGGGTCAGGAGACAGATCCAAGGTTGTAAGCCGGCAGAATCGAGGTAACCGTCCAAAAACAGATCAGGCAAACAGAGCAGAACAGGGGCAACCAACAGATGTTTGAGTGGATTACCACACACTTTAACACAAAGTTCATTTTTATACACCCTGAGTTTTATGCTGATGAAGATTCTCAGTCATCCAGGTCATAGTCTAGGGTGACCAAACGTCCGTATTTCCCGGGACATATCCGTATTTCACGTCCTGTCCCGGGTTTTTTTTAGAAAGTGAGGAAACGTCCTTGATTTTTTAAATTACCTTCATTGGACCATTAAATTTACAGGCACTAAGGCCCTGCGCACGACGCTGCGTGTGACGTAATCCCTGAGCCGCGTCAGTGCGGGCAGCCCTGTTCTTAATCAGAATATAGATTGCTTGGCTGTCAGTACGCCAACAACATGCAAAAGCGCAAATGTATGTTTACCAACGATTTACAAAAGAGTTTCCCCGCTTTCAGACCGGGTCGAGACACATTGGACGCCTTGTGCACAGTGTGTAAAGCAGGCACATATGTCTCGGTGTCCAATGGAGGTGCAAGGAATCTGAAAAGCCACCTGGACACCGAAAGTAAAGATAGTCTATTGATATGTTTGTTAGTTTTTGGTACATTTTGAATAATTTTTGCTACACAAAAGGAATTTTTTGTTAATTAGCTCATTTGTTAATTTATTTTGTCCAATAGCCTACAGAACAGACATTATTTCCTTCATTGCTGAGGCTGAGTATCATCTGAGAGTTATTGTTAACTTTTATTGTTAAGTGACGGATGTTTTAGATGAGGCATTATTTCTTTCATTGTGCTATTCATTCATTACAGGAATTGTTAAGCATTTTTAATAAATACATTTCGACTGAAATTATCATTTGTTATTGGAGTTATTGCTGTTGACTTTTACTGAGAAGCATTTTTAATAAATCAACTGTAAATATCATGTTATTGTAGGATTACGTAGGCATATGTTAGGTGAGTGCATGCCACAAACATCTCCATGCATGGGAACAGAAATCCCAAACAGATCTGCTTTTAGACTGGGAGATTCAACAGCTTTAAAAGATTATTATAATGTCTTTGTGCTTTAAATAGTATATAATGGCACCTCAATACATCTTTTGTCAGTGTATCAACCTCCCAGACAACTGTTTTGTTTGTTTTACTACCTGCTTTTATCCTGTTTTTATCTTTACTTGTTATTTTTCCTTCTGTTTTATTATTTCATTCATTTAAGTACTTTGAACTGTCTTTGCACTTTATTGTGCTATATAAATCAACTTGCCTTACCTTTCTTTAACAGTTAGTTTCAGAGACAGAAGTAGTGATAGAAAAGCTTCTAACCTTGGTTTGATCTGCAGCACAACAGGAAGATGAGAGCTGAATAGAGAGAAATCAAACCCAGGTCAGTCTGACCTTTGATAAGCTGCTCTGTGAGAAGATGCAACATTTTATCCCCAAACACACATCTATCAGCTGGGACTCACCCAGGATCCCGTGGACAGATGTTCCCTTCATCCTACAGCTGGATACACTGAGATCGACAGCAGTTTGACAGACAGGAAAATGTAGTGACGGAGGCTGCGTTTTAAAAGGCTGTGAAACAAAAGACGTCGTGTTGAGATCATCAAAGTGGAAGGACAAACACAATCATCACTAAATGTCGACATCTGGCAGCCAATCCCGTTGTTTCTTACACAATTAAAATAGGTTGTGGGTGTTTTAATCTAACATGTGGTGAAGACTCAACTTCCTTATCTTGATAAACTTGTTCTGTATTTTTGCTGCAGCAACGTTTCTAAGAAAATGTTTCCTCTTCTTTAAAGAGGAGGTCAAATCAGTCTCCTGGTGACATCAGACTGACTTTAGTCTGTTGCAAACGTCAGAGAGAAGTTTACCGGAGAGAATAAAATGAAAAGGAAATGTTTCATGTTAGAGATAAAGTTCATATCTGGTTAGTAATTTTTTCTGATTGGACTAAACTAACCGATGACAAATGAGGGGGAGATTCTGTGAAATGTGCCATGATGTTTACAGAACATCATGAGAATAACAGAATATTATAATAAATCTGTTTAACTGGATCGACCCATTCTATGAGCTGATATCCTGAACACCATCTTTAATTCTGGTAGTTACTTGCTTATTTAAAGAAATCAATCTCTTCAAATGCAGACAGACATCAATGCTGTAAAAAGTATTAGATCCCCTGTAATTTCTTTCGTTTTCAAGTTTCTTTCCCATTTGTTATGTTTAAGACAGTGTTAGTTTTCATACTGGATGAAGATAAAATGGGTGAACACAAAAGCACTTTTCAAATGATTTTATCTATTATAGTTGGATATTCAGCAAGGAAATTTGCTCTTAATGTTAATTTCACTCATTTAGTTTGTGGAGGACTTTTAATCAATGAAGGTTTATTATGTTGATGATGTCAGAGCCAGAGCCCTGAAGGTCTGTGCAAAGCAGTTCTGTGGATTCTACAACACCTTTTCAACCTTAAGACCAGAACACACTGAATGCGATTTTGCACCCAATCCGACAAGAATTGGTTTTGGACGAGGTTGTGGCATTTAGCTCTCATTGAAAGTGTCATGGTCTTGGTTCTGTTGTGCTTTACTTTGGTCCATGTTTTCTAGTTTTATTGGTTTAATTCTTATTTTGTTGTAGTTTATACATTTATTTTAATTCTCAGGTTTTTCTGTGGTTTTCCCTTGTTGCCCTCTTGTGTGTGTTCCTTTCCACTTGGCTCCCTCGTTGTCTCCTCTCACACCTGCTCCTTATCAGCTCGTTAGCCCTGCCATTGTCTCAGTCAGCTATATATACTCTCCCTCTGCTGTCATTCCTTGTTGGTTCCTTGTCGTTGCTGGCTACTCATGTTGTTGTCTACCTAGTCTCTCCCTGGCTCCTCGTGTTTGGTTCCCCCTGATGTCTCCATGGTTCTGGTTTGCTTTACATTTTTAGTTGGATTTTTGGATTCCTGACTTTGTTTATTGTTTTCATCATTCAGAAATCTCCTCAGCCTCTCTGCCTCTGCATTTGCGTCCTCAAACCTCAACCAAACCCAGACAAAATGGCAATAGAGATGATCACACCTGACACGATTTACTGCAAGGGGGCTGCGTAGCTCCAAAAAAGAACCCAGGTCATGAAGAGGGACATCATTGACCCTCTTTATGAAAAAATACAAAGGTCTGGTTTGTTTCTAGAAATAAGTCTAAAATGATACTGTGGACCAGCAGGAAGAAAAACACCTTCAGGTTTAGTTTATAACCTTGGAGAGTGAGTCTGATAGAATAGTGTAACTGCCATTTTGACAGTTGCTGTTACCAGAAGTGATCTCTGTGGCTATTTTTTTTTCAGGAAGTGATGCAGATATTGCACATTAGATTATGATCATGTGTCATCAGAAAAAAAAAGTTAGATGAAAGTTTGATGATTAAAGTTAAGCACGTCTACTGAACCAGTAATTCAAATTATCCAGTTATTTTTTAGCCTCTTTATTTACGTAAACTTTCTGCTTTTTTATACCACTGAATTTAGATCTGCAACAACCAAAACAGGGAGTGACGCAAGGCAACACCCACAGAGTAAGAGCGACAATGTGCTCCATCCCTCCATCACACCCCAGTTTCTGCTTTTTGAAGAAGCTATAACTCATGTCAGAAAAACAGTTCAGCATGACTTTATGGTAATCTGTCTCACAAGCAAGGATTCTACTAAAATTAAACATTTCTAATAATGCCTTGATTTGAAAAATTGTTGCAACAAAAATGATTTTATATTAAAAAAATTGCTTTAACATGTCTGCCTGTTGCAAATGAGAACTTAGAGAAGATAGTTATCAGTAGATGAATGATTTTTGTTAATGAATTGATCAATAAATGAATGAAGCTCCCAGGTTTTTTGTCTCTCCGAAAAGCAATAACAGCTCTTTAAATGTGAAATAGACAAACATTTATAGATCTTTATGTTTTTTTTGTTTGTTTGTTTTTGTTACTTTTTGTCTCTTTATTTGTATAACCTTTGCTCTTGAAATGCTTTTCATCAATATTCTTTTTTACTCTAAATAACTTACTGGTGTGTGAAATAAAATAATTAATTGTTTACCCTTTTCTTCAAAGTTTCTAGGATTTTCTCTCTCAGAAACTCTTCAGAGGTTTAATGTGGTCCAACCTGATTCAGTCAGAACCAGGGATACATTATTTTCCTTCAGTCGAACCACTGATGTCCGCCTACTTTTCTTTAGATGAAACTATGTTCACTTTAAGACCCTTATGGCATTCAGGATTCAGAAATTGTATCATTTCCTGTGTGAAGTAACATCCGTTCTATTTTCTTACCATGTCGTTTAAACTTTAGTCACTGCAGCAGCTGCAGACTTTTATCTGACTTGAAGGATTTCATGAGCCACACAAAATATGTTTAAATAAAGTACTTATTCTGGAAACATTTAAATTCTTTGTAATTGAGTTCACAAATACTGTACTGATCCCAAATTAAAATTTGTTGTAGTAACTACATATCTTTTTTGACAAACTATACAGGCCTTGGTTTAATTAACTACAATATAGTGTTTGGAAAGCACTATAGATGCTGTGAAGGATTTGCACAAACCAGCCAGAAAAACCACTGAAAATAAAAAAAAAGTGTTAAAAAATGAGAAAACTGGGCCTAAAAACAGAGGTAAAAAAAACAGACTTCAATTCAGGTACTAACATAAAGAACTCAAGTACAAACTGACCTATCAAACAGGACATGAGGGAAACTAAAATAGTGGCAGGTCAGACCACCGTTGACACACAAGGGGGAGCACTGACTGATGACTGGCAAACTAACCAACAAATCAACTTCATTAAACAGATAAATATTGGCCAGAGTACTTTTTAAATTTAACAAATGAATTAAACTATCCAAAAAAAGAATATCTAAAAAAAAGATGAACATATTCCCCTTCCCATTACAACAAATGGTGTGACCCACTGATTAGCCTGCAACGACCAATTCAGACGAAAGCTGCAGCTCATTGCAGCCCTCCAGCAGCAGATCCAAAGGAGACTGGCCACTCAAAGAAAAGGAAATTAATCAATTGCATTTTAACCAAAATGTAATAAACTGACAAAGTTAAATAAATGTGTGCACTGCAAATAGCTGACAAAAAGTCAGGCTAATGAAAATATTTGAAATGTGCAACTCATTTTGAAAATGAAAAATATAAAACTTACCACACAACTTGAAATCATTTTATGCAACAGAAAAATAACCTGTTTTCTAAGAACAAAGTTTAACAGTTTCTGTTGGTAAATATCCTGGGTCATGCAGGGTTTTCAAACACATAAGTAGACAGCTTCCCCTAGTGGTTAAAGGTACACTATGCAACCGGTGTTGATTTTCCAGTGAGGCTCCCTCCAGAGGGCGAAAGTAAAAGTGCACTGTCGTAAATATGCTCAGCTGTTCTCCTGGTTTCTCAGTCAAGCCAGGCGCGGTTGTTTTGAGCTTAGCAGCGAATGACTAACGCTGCGTTCACACTGGATGTAGCTGGCGCGACAGAAGCAGCGAGTTTACATGCAAAGGTGCCGCAGCGCGTTTTGAGCTGCAGGCGCTGCACGTCTGAGCGGCTGCAGCAGCGCGTCGGGTGCGTTTAACGCAGGGAGAGAGACACAGCGCTGATGATCACTGCTCTTAAACAGTTTATTGACGCCTAAATTAACTTAAAAGGCAGAAATCTGCCGGCAGAATATGCAGTTTGGATTATTTAGATGAAAAACACCTACCAGCTGCCGCGGTGAACCGCTGATGAAGGGATCCATACTGTCGGCGCATCCCTGGTATGTGGGGGTCTGAGCGGCTCCGACAGAAAAAATATTGAAGGCAGGATAATAATCTGGATGAACTGACGGCACTGATTACGTTTTCAGGTGGATTTTCTCACTTAAAAACATATTAAAACTACTTTATTCCCACTGATCACAGCAAATATAGCTGCAAGGCAGAGAAAGGATAGTGAAGCTCTGCCCAACGCGCCTCAGACACACTTTTGCAGCCAGAGCAGCAAAACTGTTTCAGCCGCGCGTCAGTACTAACTGGTACAAGCAGCAAAAAGGAAGCAGCAGATGCGATTTTGCTGCTTTTGCTGCGTGAACGTAGCATAACTGCACAAAGATCGCCACTGTGCTAGCAACGAGAATGCTTTTAACTGGGGGGTGTAGCAGTTCTCGCCGTAAAGCAAGACTGACTCTCACGAGACTTCTGAGCCTGTGGGTGCGGGTCGGTGCTCCTGCAGTTGCAAGTGCAGTATTTCCCCCACAGACCACCAGGGCGGCCGAGAATACCTTTGTTCAACCTGAAATGACTCATTTAGTCATCCATAACGTTATGGAACACATTAATTAACTGAAAAATGTTGCATAGTGTCCCTTTAATGGGCTCTATGCACAGCTCCACTACTTCCTGAATTTAATGCAGCTCCTTTGTTTCCTGTCTTTCATTACTAGACGAACTGATTAATCCAGGTGTGTCTGGCCAGTTAGGTCATACACACCTGGATTAATTAGTGTATCCAATCATGAAAGACAGGAAGCAAAGGAGCCTCCTGAAGTTCAGGAAGTG